TTGGGATCCTTTTAGATAAACATAACACACAACCTGGCCAAGTTTAAAGAAATTCCTTGGCGCTGAAAAACCGCTACAGAAAGCTCACCTAAATTCACCATTGTGATAATCTTTTAAAGTTGTTAACTAAATAGTCTTTGAATAAACATGCTTGAAAGCCATAGTTTTTAAAAAGTAACGGCAATTTAACATATATCCACATGTCATACTGCGATTGCCAATCAGGCTGACAGTTTCAAAGTATTTTTATAAAGTAACGTTAATGTAATAAAAAGCTCAAATACCTGCTTAAGTTCAAGAAGTTGCGCTTTCTTCAATTTCTTCGTGGTTATCCAGAATTGTTCAGACATAATTTGCCCACATAAATTTCAAGGTACTGTGATGAATTACCATCGAATTTAGCTGCTGTTTATCGCTATGAATAAGAGAAATAACGTATTGGGTCGAACACTGTTCCGTGTCGAAGCTCAATCGAAGCTCTTTGCTGATTTGTTGTTGAATACGAAATGAGCATAAGGTGTAAAATATGTCAACAATTCACACGCTTGTTAGGGGGGTGTTTGAGACGGTTTCAGTGGGTCGAACGCCGACCGTAATAAAAGGATAAGAAATAGCCATAGTAGACCGTCTCAAACACCCTCCTAACAARCGTGTGAATTGCTTTTTAAAAACTATGGCTTTCAAGCATGTTTAGTCAAAGACTATTTAGTTAACAACTTTAAAAGATTATCACAATGGTGAATTTAGGTGAGCTTTCTGTAGCGGTTTTTCAGCGCCAAGGAATTTTTTTAAACTTGGCCAGGTTGTGTGTTATGTTTATCTAAAAGGATCCCAAAATTTTCGTCGAAATAAAACGGACAGATTTTTTGCAAAATCGAGTTTTTGTGAAAACAGTGCATTTGCTTAATCGCTTACATCTTACAAATTATTAACCTGAACATCGCCAACTATTCCGGCCATGCGCCGCTCACCAAGTCATCGGATATCATGTATAAAATAAAAACCACAGGAAGCCCAARCTCTCTCAGGCCCGGACTTAGAGAAACATAACTTTTTGCTACGGTATTCCTGTGCTTTAATAGGTATCCTATTACAAATGATGGCAAACTAGAGCTGAGGATTCAAGCTTTATTTTGGTACCAAACATGCCGTATTTTGCGAATAATTTTCAAGGCTTTTGCTTCACAAAG